ATTGCTACATCTCATGCATCAGTAGTACAACAGGGCAGCACAGCCTTTGTTTCCTGAGTTAAGCAGGTTGTGCAAGAATTCCTTACGACTTTTTTACCATCTTTTTCCTGATTTCTGTGGCAACTCCTCTTCCCCTGGGGAGTTTTTCTGGAAGTCGCTTCGTAAGTGCTGTCAAACTGTGTATGCAAAGCAGGCGAGCAGAATGAGCACAGATGACGTTTGCTCTGGCAGGGGATCCAGCCCCGGAGCCTGCAGGGGATCCAGCCCCGGAGCCCGCAGGGGATCCAGCCCCGGAGCCCGCAGGGGATCCAGCCCCGGAGCCCGCAGGGGATCCAGCCCCGGAGCTGCCGGCCGGATCCCGCAGTCTCCCCCGGCACAGGCAGGGAGCTCTGACTCGGAGGTGGCTGCAGAACCGTGTGCTTGCACTTCTCTCGGGCACCAAGAGGAGAGAACTGAGTATGGAGCTAGGAGGGTTCGGGCACAAGGTAAGGGTGAGAATAGTCAAAGCCAAAGCCCAGGGAGGAGGAGCGAGGAAGGATACCACAGAGCAGTAACAAAAAAAAAACAAAAAACAAAAAAACACCCCAAAAAAACCCCACCACAACAAAAGAGAAGAGAGTAAAAGGGAGCACAATAATGGGCATGCATTTCTCTTTCTTCTGCCCTGTGGCAAGCTGCCAATCTCTTCCACACAAATTCCTCAGTGCTACTAAAACCAGTACCCATGGACACACCTGCCTTGAGACAAATTCTTTCAGTCTTGAAAAAATCTGGGCACTTCTTCAATAAAGCGCTTTGCTTTTAAACTGCTTTGCCTTTGTGAATTTTGGCAGCAGCTCACACTTGCAGAGCTTTTGAGAACCCTTTCTGTAATCAGATTTCCCTGCCCTGCCCCAGGGGACTGTGGGCGAGTCACTTCCCACAGCTGTCCCTCAGCTTCCAGCTCTGTGAGTGTGGCTCACCACTACCTCAAAGGGCTGGGGCGAGGCATCATTTGTGTGTGAAGAGCTGTGAAATCCATGAGGGTGACGGGTGCTGAGCAGTACATGACATGCTGTGAGCGTAGTGCTACCATCAGCTCATCACTCGGGTATGGCAGGAGGTGGGGCAGGCACCCTAGTATAGTTTAAAACACTTCACTGCCCAGTGCAAGACATCATGAAGTGAAAGAGGAGGCAGTAGAGTCATGTGGTGACAGGACTTATTTCTTCTATACATTTGGGCCAAGGTTTACGACCAGAAAACACGAACATGCTTAGGAGTACTAGCTAAATGCTCAGAAAAGAAGAAAAACTCAAGCTGAGACTTTTCCAGTTCCTTCTCAAGCAGGCCATCTCCTGAGCCACCTCATGCTGGAGGTGTTTAGGGGTGGCAAAAATCTTGTGTTTTCACAGACAATAGTCTCTCTTCTTTTCCTGTTCTGACCAAACTCAGACTAGGCTGTCCACAAGCATAAAAAAGAGTCCAAGTGATTTGCAGCATGGTGCAACAGAAAAGAGCATCACTACAATTCTGTGGATACATGGCTAAAAAAATGAGCATTATGATTTCTGCCCATTTCTGCCCATCCTGATTTTCTTCTGAGTGAGGTTTCTAGTAATATAAGAGTAACCTGCTCCTTCTTTCCTATTTTGTCTCTTTCCTTTTCTATAATTTCTAACCAAACCATTACCACATTTGCTCTGAGAAAGAGGTCGAGTATTGCTCTTTATGAGCCAGGTTGCCTGTGTTGGCTTAGATTTGGTCTTAATACCATAGCTGGAAAACATATGCTAAGTTTACCTCCTTTTTTTGGCAATTTATACCCTCTCCCCCATAAACAATCAATAACCAAGACAAGTTTTGAAAAAGTAGGGTCTGAAGATAATGGATGATATCATGAGTCATGCAGTCAAATTTTGGCTTGGCTGCAAATTTAGTTTGAAGTCTTGAGCAAGCCAGTTAAATTTTTCTCATCAAATCTTCCCTTAGCAGAAGCGGGAATAGTTACTTGCCTTGAAGAGATGCTGTAAAGACTAAGAAAGTCATTAAATCGTTTATTCAAGATGAAAAAAATCTCTTAAGAATTATGTAGAAACCTCAATTAGGATTTATAAAAAGGCTATTTAAAAACAATGGGATAAAAAGTAGCACCATTGAAACTAGTTAATTAAATAATCATGGTAGAAACTCCTCAGATATGAAGAATGGAACATAAATCTGCAGTCGCCTGGCAGAGTATATTCCACTCAGAAAAGCAACTTCTCTTTATTCACTATGGTGGAACAAAGTAATTGCAGATATATGAGGAAATTCTTGTAGCCTTTGATACTCCTGGATACTGCCTTCCATTATTATTGATCTTTATTTTTCATGATAATACTTTGGGCCTTTAGCTGGGATCTGTCCTGGTGTGGTTGGTACCACAGACACAGAAGATAATGAAGTGCACTGCCCTAAAGGGCTTTTGGTCAGAGATCCCAAATGTCCAACAGTTTACATCACAATGAAAGGTGATGTGCCACTATGATTTTACACACGTGGTCAAATTTTCCCCTTTCCCCCCGTTTCATACAAAGCAAACAAGGCTGCTTATCTCAGTGTCTGGTTCCCTCCTCAGTGTTTGCTTGGTGACATACCAGTGTAGCGCAGGTCGGGTGCTGTTCTTGGCACTATGGATCTGCTCACGTGATTATGTATCAGTAACACTGCACAAGCTGAACTGGGCCTTCCAGGACTCTTTCCTCAGGTCATCCTGCTCTATGAGTGAGGAGGCACAATCTGCTGCTTACCCCAAGCATCCAGTTACATACAATGATCTTTGGAGGTGTGAAATAAACGTGCTCTCTGCTCTGGCAAGCTCCTTCTGTCAGTAGTAGGGACTAACTTGCCAGTTTACTAAGGCCGGATCTCCACCAACCATGTCCATCCAAGCTACTAAACTGAGTGTGCTTTGCACAGAGGTCTGTGTGGATACTTGTTTTGTCAGCCTCATGGTCTGTTTTGTTTGTATGGCACTTTCATTCATAAAAGGTGTCAGTGAGACCTGGAATCTCTGGGGACAGAAAAAAAACAGGTATTTTCAAATAAAACAGCCAGTTTTGCTCTACTTTAGGCAACTTGCAGAAGTGAGGAGCACTTCCATTGGTATCCCAGCCAAAAGTCACTCTTCTTAAGGCAGGTGCTGGCTTCTCTCACCAGCACTTGGCTGAATTCCAGAGTTGTCCTGGGGTGACTTTATGATACTGGTATCCCCAGTTGTCTGGTTTATGTTATATATTAAGTTCTGCACCTTTAGGACTGGCTCTGAGAGCGAGAGTGGGGGGAAGAAGAAGCCACAGTTTGTGTTAAGGAAAAACATCAGTCCCCCACATCCCACTCCTGGACTGTGGTGTCTGCAGCACGGACAGACAGCGGGACAGAGCTTCTCTCTGGCTTTTAGTTAGCTTTAGCTAGCTGAGGCAGAGGAGTTCCCTGGACCTTTGGTTTTTTTCCCTTTTTCCTGAATCTGTGCAAGCCTGCTCTGGACTGAACACCCAGCCAAACCCCGGGAGCTCACGCCTGTGGCCCACCGGGGCCTGGGCCTTGGCACTTTCCAGCGCCGGAGGGACTGAAAAGAACCTGAGCGAGCCGAGCTACACCACATGAAAAGGACTTTTCTTCCTACTAGATTTGCCGTCCCATCGAACAGAGAGAGGTTTTATTATTTAATATTATTCAATTTCTGTTAAATAAACAGCTTTTTCCACTTCTCTCCAAGGAATTTTTTTTCCTTTCCTGGACCAGTTGGGGTGGGGGGGTCATTTCCCTGGGGAAACCCCTATTTGGAGTTTTCCTCCTAAATTTGCCCTAAACTAGGACAAGAGTCCTCACAGGAACACCTTCCCCCTTTCTGAGAGAATCCTCTCCTGTTAGGAAACACAAGGAGAGAAGGCTGCCTGATTAAAGAATGCCTTTAAAGGTCAAATAACCTTTTCAGTAGCTGTGCAATAGATTTTAAGACAAACAAACATACAAACAAACAATGGATGAAAGTATATCAGGATAAGGGGGCACATGAATTCAGATACTGCAAAGGCAGTGATTTCTGTACAACCTGTGAAGACTTGCCAGCAGAGACCTAGGTTGGGCATGCACAGCCTGGTCAGAGCAGACAGAAAATACAGCAGGTGATACAGGTTGCAAGGGTAACCCTGAGAGGCAGAGCATGATGCAGCACATGCAGCCTGTTAGTGCTGTTAACAGACACCTCTGATGGCAATGGGACTGTCACCTGCTGTGACACTACATAAAAACAGAAGCACCAGGTGTTGGCTTCACTTGTGCTGCTTCACACCTTTGGTGGGTTTTGTGCCATTCTGGTTTAGGTTGGCTGTAGCGATCATTGTTTCTATGATGTTTTCGGACTTGTAGAGTTATGATGTCAGGGAATTGTAGAGTTCCCCTGTAGAAAGCAGAAGAGAATGAAAAACCACAGAGCTCCAAGACAGAAGGAACAGAAGTAAATTCAGTGCAGTAGAGGTCCATTTTCTGAAGACATTAAACAGCTTTAAGACTACACTAGTAAATGAACACACCCTTTTTATCACTGAGGCAACTGAAGTGGGGAGAGTGGAAACAGGCTGTTATAGGTAAAGCCAAATGAGATGTTGCCTAGTAACTCTCAGCAGGGAAGCATTTAAACCCAGCCAGTTTAGTAAGGCTGATGTTCTGAGTCAGAGATTATTTTCTCTGGAAAAAATTCTGAAGGAAGGAAAGCTCAATTTAACAGACATAGGATATATTTTGCTGTTAGGGCAAACCATAATGACAGCTCTTGAGTGAATGCAGAAGTATTTACAAACTTGTACAAGGAAGAACAGAAAAGGCATCAAAAGCAACGCTTTACCAAGCCTGGTTTTTGATGCTGATTTATTTCCTCTACATACAGGAATTTCCATAGTCATTTTTATTTTTTGATTCTGAAATACACAAGTGATAACAGAAGTCTGAAAATATTACACAAATCATTACATTATTATCATATAATTGCTGTAAGAGACGTTTCTGGAGCAAACCCTATTTCAACTCTGCTATTGGACACAGAATCAAAATAATTGATTTAAAAGAAGAAAGACTCCATGTCTCCACTGGTTCCATTGCCTGAAATAGTTTTAATTAGGTCCTCCTTCAGGACTTTGCTTTTATGGGTTCACAGAAAAGTCACTTGGCTCAGCTAAAGGTCTCTCACATCAGGGGGAAAAAAAACCCTCAGACCTTATTTGAAGATTCATGTTATTTTTGCTTCTCTTTAGGAGGATATGATGATTTTACAGAAGTATAAGCTTTGCCATGATCAGCCATGTACATCTGTGTTCCTGAGTGCCACAACTACTGCTCAGAATAGGCAGTCAGGTTCAGGAGAGCACCTCATTTCAGCAGCCTCCTACAGTTAATGATGATACCTATGAATGTGAACTATCGCACAGATTTATTTTTTTTAATTAAAAAATACAATAAGCAGATCAACATGCCACAGTAACCATGAAAAGACAGACAGCCAAAGAGTTACAACAAAAATATGTATTTTATCAACAATGATAACAGCTGGAAAACAAAGCTACTACAGCATAATTACTAAAATTTGAGTTTTTCACAAGCATGCTGTATGAGCAGAGAAAGAATGTTCTGCAAGCCAGAGAGAGCCACTTCTCACTGCCCAGAGCCTGATTTCAAGTTTAATGAAATGCTGTTGATACAGAACCTCTGCCCAGAAGGTTTGGGTCCATCATCAAACACATGGCCTAGATGGGCATCACACTGCAACAGAAATTATTAAAATTTTATTATTGTACTGCTACAGTATAACAATCATTTAGGCTGCAAAAGACCTCTCATTCATAGAGCCCATCTTTGACTGACCACCACCATGGCACTAACTGCCATGTCCATTTGTTTCTTGGACACTTCCAGGGAAGGTGACTTCACCACCTCCCTCAGCAGTCCATTCCAATGCTTAACAACCCTTTTCATATAGAAGTTCCTGCTGATGAACATCCCTGGTACAGCCTCATGTCCTGTCCTCTCGTCCTGTCCTGTCCTCTCGTCCGGTCTCCAGCTGCCTGGGAGGACAACCCCCAGCTGGCTGCACCCTCCTGTCAGGCAGTTATAGAGAGTGATAAGGTCACCCCTGAGCCTCCTTTTCTCCAGGCTAAACATCCCCATCTCCCTCAGCTGCTCCTCCTCAGACTTGTGCTCCAGACCCTTCACCACCTCCACTGCCCTTCTCTGGACTCTCTCCAGTACCTCAATGTCCTTTTGGAATTGAGGGGCCCAGAACTGAACACAGAACTCGAGGTGTGGCCTCACCAGTGCCGAGTACAGGGGGATGGTCACTGCCCTGGTCCTGCTGGCCACACTGTTGCTGATCCAGGCCAGGATGCCATTGGCCTCTTGGCCACCTGGGCACTGCTGGCTGATGTTCAGCTGCTGTTGAGCAGCACCCCCAAGTCCTTTTCCAACTTGCATCTTTGCAGCCACTCTGCCCCAGCCTGTAGCACTGCAGGGGTTGTTGTGAGCCAAGGGCAGGACCAGGCACGGGGACTTGGCCTTGTTGAACCTCAGACCTCTGGCCTCTGCCCATCAATGCAGCCTGTCCAGATCCCCTGCAGAGCCTTCCTGCCCTCCAGCAGATCAACACTCCCATCCAACTCAGTGTGTCTGCAGACTGACTGAGGGGGCCCTGGATCCCCTCATGTGGATCATTGATGAAGATATTGAAAGAACTGGTGCCAGCCCTGAGCCCTGGGGAGCACTGCTGGTGACCAGAAACCATTGTCATTGCATTATTACCACTGAGATTATGGACCAACATTATGCTGGTACCTACTGTGTTATCTTGAATTAAGAAACTTTCATGATTAAATCACTCTTGAGTTGTGTGAGTGAGTGTCCTTGGGAGTGACAAGGAATCAGATCTTGTCAGTGGGCAAGTATCTGCCCCCAAACAAGCAGATCCCAGAAGTAGACCCCAGAAGGGAAACTACAAAGGTGCCAGCAACTATAGGAAATAAATGAGAGTATTAGAGACCTCAATATATCATGAAAATTTCAAAATAATTAATAAGTCACTGTAGATCATTCTCACAGATCAACTGAGTATTCCCCTCTCAAATTACTAAGGTGAAAAAATTAGACACAGTATAGCTATCAGTGATATTATAAAATTGGAAGGTCTTCAGCTGGGGTTCTTGAAGGTGCTTGCTGCATATGGCTGCAAATGTGAACTCTTCCAAGATAATGCAGCAAATTCTTGTTACGTTTGCAGATGTGCCTAAGCCTGTTGCAAGCACACTGAAGGACAGCATTAACAATCTTAACAGTTTACAAAAACAGACACACACATACATTAAAAAACCCAAATCCAAGATACAATTCATTAAACTCAATCACATACTTTTATACCTTAACAAAAGTATGAAACAGAGTTGGGAAGAAATGGTTAAGGGTGGCAGTTCTTTAGAAAAAGAACCTGGGTATTACAGCAAGTAAATAAATGTGTGTCTGTGTAATATGGTCTGTGTAAAAATAAAGTTGTAAGAACAGGAACACCATTTTTAACACACCTGAACAACCTCTAACCCCTGCTGTAGGCTAAGCCAGCTGCAGTGCTATGTCCAACCTTGCAGTCTACTTCAAGAAGGAAAAGGGTCAACTGAGAAGAATGCAAAACAAAGCAACAGAATGACGAGCACACTAAAAAGCACTGCATAAAAAGGAACTGGACGTTTCTAGTCTAGAAGAGATGACCGAGGGAGTCAAAATAGCAAGAAAAAATAGAAGAGTGGCTTCTGTGAAGCCAAAGGAATCCACAGAAAATAGCTGTGGAGATGCAGGGCACAGCCACCACCCAGCAGGGCAAATAGTAATGGCTGCAAATGGCTTTAATGGCTGGTGTCTCAACCTCTGCATATTTTAACATCTACAGCAAATATTTAGCAAGACTGAATGAGGAAGAACTGTCCCTGTGATGGGCCAAATGTATGGACCCTATTCCAGAGTTTCTTCTACCATCTCTTGTCACACCTTGCAGCATACTTTGAGTAAATTTTCTGTCTGAAAATCAGGCTTTGGCTATACATACACATTGCTTTCCCCAGTCACATACTTTTCTTCATCCAGATTGAGAAAGAATGGTTCCAGTAATACTGTAATTCTTACTGCTGATTTAGGCAGATTCATTCATGAGCACAAAGAGAACTTACCTGCTTTGTGTCTTTGTGTATCATCTACAAAATAAACATACCTGTTTGCAGACGACTTCAGTTCTAGTTGACCCCAGTGAGTTATCTGGTCGTCTCAGGATATTGGTATTACTTTCATCTCCGCCACAAGTACCATAAGCCTCAGAAAAAGATGGCCATCCAGTCCCAGAATTGTACTTCTTCTCTGAGCTATAGTGGAAACCAGATCTTCTTGTTAATTAATAACAGAGATGTTACAAAAGAGTCTCCTTCTGTTAAGAATATTGGCTCAATTGCCTCAGTCCTGTGTTGTACCAATATTAAAAATATTTGGAACAGTAGAAGTTTTCTCATTGGCATCAAACTGCTGGAAACTCTTTTCCAAAGGGAATTCTCAATCAGCTCATAACAGGAAAATTTGCTTCACTGTTTCTATTTCAATGACAGTTTAGTGTTTTATAAAGCTTAGAAAAGTTTGGGGTATTTTTCTGACAATTATGTTATACTAACATTATACTATAGTGTTTAGCTGAATTACACCTACAGAGCTGCAGTTTGAAGCCTGGCCCAATCCAGCAATCTCACTGAAAAGAGTTTACAAGAAGAAATAAAGAATGGACAAAGGCTGGGCTGGCCCACCAGACCAGGCTCGTGCCTGATGATGATAGAGGCTTTGTCTCACAGTCAGCCATCAAGCTGGTTTGGAAAATCAAACAGAGCCTTGCTCAAACCATCAATCAACCAATGACAAATCCTCACAGCACAAAGATCTACCTTTCCCGAGAGAAAATTGCAGCCATAAGAAACAGCACAACATAATGTCAGCTTGTGGGTGCCTCCTGTTAACATCCAGGGTGACCAACACTGTTCAGTTACGTATTAAAACCTGGAGTGTACTGGTAAATATGATCAAAAGATGTTTTAGGGATTTGGTACAGAAATGAGATAATCCCTCCTGTTTAAAATTGTGCAAGCTTTGACAACAGTATGAACCTTCTCTTATAAAAGAGGAACCTAGCATGAGTTAGAACAAGAAATTATATGATTTATAGGTTCACATACTTCTCAGATAAGTGGTCTGGAGACTCACCACAACCATTTCCTCACAATTTCTCATGTTTTTTTCACAGTTTCACAAACCCAATGCTCTTACTGGCATCTAGTGGTGGATGGAGACATCAGCACCACTAGCAGCTCTTGATCTTCATACAAATTGAAGCGTTAGTTAGGACAGAATTTAAAACAAAGTATGTAATACATATCACGTATATATTGGTGGGTTATTCACACGGTGAAGAAAAATCTGAAAATCTTAATTGCAGTGCTGTTTGGAAAGATAAACTGGACAAAAAGGTTAAAAAATCCAACCCAAAGAACAGTGCATAAGTCAGCATTTTTATAATCATCTGTATGGGGCTGTCGTTGAGTAACACAGCAGTGGAAGTAAAAGAGGATTTGCTAGCACATAATGACCAAAGGCTAGTTTTCGTGTGGGCTGTTGCTTAGTCATTTACATCAATGCACAAATAGCCATGAGAAATGCTCTCCTTCCCCTCCTCTCCATAAAGCTGGAGAAAAATAGGACACAGCAGAGGAGTAGCCTGCTCTGAAGCAAATGCAGTTTGCAGACTCTGTGTTTGTATATCAAGGTACTTAGGGTTCCTGTTTCTTTCCAGCCGAAGGCTCCCTGTTTTCCCTGCCACAAAACCACATGAACACTGTCCCTATCAGCCACAGAGTCCCCAAGAATGACCTGGGGGAGGGGTCATACCTGAGTCCTGAGCTTCCCTGACATACATCTGTTCTGTTTCTTTTCTATCAAAACTCTATTTTTTTTAAATTTTTTTTATACAGGAATCGTTATGTTTATTCACACATAGATACAAATATACTCTTTGAAAACCCATAGAGTCAAGGAAGGTCTTTAACACTGTGGTGGTTTTGAATCTGACCCTGAAAGATTGTCTCTTCCATACTGCTCACAATACTTATTTTAGATGTTTTCCACTGCTAAAGGAACAGTCTTTTGAGCTGTTAAACTAGCTCTCAACAGAAATGGTCTCTGTGTGGTTTTATTAACAGTAATGTCACTTAGATTCTCTAATAGAAACATTTTAGTACCCAAAAATATTGCTGTTCAAGTTCATATTTGTCCTTTGAAGTATTTCACCACTTAATTTATGGATAAATGGACTTTCCCTAAACATATGCATTAGATTAGACCTCAACACACCATTCCTCCAGCACATGCCATTTACTTTGATCCTTATTTCAGTCATCCTGGATGGAATCCAGATAATTCTAAAAAGTGCTTTTTGCTGTATGAATCTCAGCTGTAGGTTTATGGTTTGATGAAGGTTTGAGATTTCATTGAAGCACTACAATTTGCTATCTATAAAGGTTAGGGGTTTGTTCCATGTATTTCCAACTCTTTCAAATGTATATTTGGTAGCAGAAGGTAATAAATTCTGGTATAAATGTATACACATATGTTTCAAAGAAGGGAAGAAATAGCTCATGTTTACCTGTAGCTAATGAGCTAATGCATTTGAAAAAAAAAAATAAAAATTAATGCACTAGGAAATAAATATGATGGATGAATCTCTCCTCTCACCCAATACCATTTCTCCCCTCATTGCTTGTGTTCTCAACAGCATAATACCTGCATGGAAAATATATTTTCAGATTATTTCTCACATTTAATAGTTCCCAATTTTCTTACAAGGCTTTTATTTATTTTCTTTTTACTGAAAGCTTGGCTTTTTTGGCCTGTGAAGCTTAGCATTATCTTGTGCTGCAAAGAAAAGTGCTTATGTTCTCTGGGAGCTGAATAGTGCAAAGGGCAGCCTGACTGGTTATATTGCTATTTTGTTACTAGTTTAACAACAGAAGCAATTCCCTCTAGTGTTTGTCTCTTCATGTTGGCCTGTCAATATCAATGATGCTGAAATTGAAGGAAAATCTGAAGGAATGGAAGGAACTCTTCCACAGTTTATTAATTTACAATTTCTCTAATTTACCTGAATTTTCCAGAGGTGTTTTTAGGTTTTATATTTATCTTCAGGGTATTTTGTAGTGCTGAACTAACATCACAAATGAATTTATTTAGAACTGTTCATAGCAAACCTCTACAGAAATTATACATCTAAGCAAATCCATGTTTGCATAACAGTAGTTTTCTGCACTTGACCAAATTAAAATTAATTGTAATTTACACAATTATAATTTAATTGCTTAGTTTAGGTTTATTTTCAATACATCCATTGCATTTCCCTCCTTTCTTACTATCCAGATCTCTTGATCTGTAGCGTCCCATGTGAAGTTCTGATCTGTGATTCATCCTTTAAATCAGCTACATTTCATTCTCAGTTGGGAATAAATAAGGGCTATTTTCTAGACCAAAAATATGAGAAACTGTCCTTCCTGGTTCAGTTACAGAGAACAGAACACCCTCTGCACATCCTACTCCAAGGCACTCTATTTCCTTTTACTTAGACGTTAATGAAGTTGCAAAATATATAGTATTGTAAAGAGCACAGAGGTTAACTGTGCAATCATTTGCAGCCAAGCTTTAAAAAGTAGATGTAGCCAAAAAGGCAAGAATAGTGGAATTTAATTTAGGGAACAAGGAAGGGGTGGGGGTGAAGAGAAGGTCTCAGCTGTAGTGTGAGGGACCCAGCAATAAAAACATCACAACTGTAGACAAAGGCAGACCAAGGTCTCTCCAGCCCAGCAGCATGAGTGGCAGAAGACAAGTATGGAAGAGCACAAGAACAGAGCAAAAACAATGATACTCATGCATAAATACATGTATTTTGCAGCAGATTGTGGCTTAAGGACCTTTTAAACAGAGAATTATTATCAACCAGAAAGAAGTCTCAGGAGAAACAGGCAGACTGCAGTGTAACAGCTGTGTGCTGGCCACTGGCAATCCTCATCAGCTCAAGAAAAAGGCATACCATGTATCTGTGTCACCACAGGCACCCTGGAAGACTTACACACAGCACCTGGGCACCAGGGGATGGTTCTTCTGACCAACATTTTCCACACCATTCATGAAAAGACATTGCCCTTCCTGCCACAATCAGTACATATTAAAGATGCTGTGAAATCCAGAGGATGTTACCTGAAGAGGGGGGCATTGCAGCACACGCAGCAGTATATTCCTGATTCTGTGTTATTCAGATAGATCCCACTGAAAGGCTTTTAAAATAGGAAGGAAAAAAGAGAAGTTAATAATGCAGGTCTTTAAAAGCTCACCATCTGGAAGAAGCATGTAGGAATCAGATTCAAAACAGGAGAAAAACCATAAAAAGGAGGCTTTGCAGGGGGGCTTTGAAGAACAAACATTAGCAGCCCGAAGAAATGAAGGGGAGTTTGCCTTTGGATTAGTAGTGAAGGCTACCCCCTACTCCCACAGACTTTAAGACCAGTCAGATGCATAAATCATCCAGGTATCAGGAATGGAGTCGTGACCTCCAAGAAACTGGTGAAACGTGCAGGATCCCAAAGGCTAGGGCTCTGCTATAGACTGCCACAACTTTAAAATGGCTTTACAAAGAGGCTCTCCTCCTTCCTGCATGGTCTGGTATGGGATCCTTATTTTACTGACATGAATTTGGGCACAGTTCACATGGTACGTGCTCTCCATGTGCAGAAGTCCTGGCTCTGGGCTAGGGACAACCAACACTCCACCCACAATGCTACCTGGCTTCCTTCACAGAAGGAGGAAACATGGGGATATGTGGGTGGGTGATCTGGTACCTGAGGGAGAGCCCATCTCCTGAAGGAACTGCTATGTTCAAGATTTACATGGATAATCTATATATGGTCATAAAAAGGATAAAAATATGATCTCCCTGTCCTCTGGAGGGGCCTCTACTCCCACCACACAAACAGTTGATCTGGCAGCAATGTATCCCAGGAAAAAAACCAATAAAATATGAAAAGAATGCAGAATGTTTTTTCATCTGCGAAACAGTCTGGGTCAGAACAAAATCCATCCTGTTCTGTATGCTGAGTCTAACTTTCATCCACAGGAAGGCAGGGGAAATCCTGTGAAGAAACTGAGTGGTGACAGCTCCCCAAGGCAGGTTTTTCCTGTGCCCAGCAGTCAGAGGAGATGGCTCAACCTTGCATAGCATTAGCACATTCGCTCACCGGTTCAGTTCCTTTTTCTCGTGTAACATAGAATTGCTCCGGAGTCAATTTTTTTTTCCAGTCTGTAGCAGCAGCTGCTTCAGCTTGTTTAGTGAGGGGGCCTGTGTCTTCAATTAGATATAGAAAGATAATTTAGTAAGATAGGTTAGATTCCATTGATGCTTTCCATCATGATCTCGGTCCTCCCAAAGTTTCTATGGGTACAGACAAAGCACAGAGGGCAGTTCAGGAACATGAGCAGGGGCAAGCGCAGGACTTTGCATCTGCTTTCCATTTGATGTGCTACATCCAGAGAGCAGCTCCAGCAAACCACTTGGAAAGGCTTGTAAAGGAGCTGGGCACCTATGACCCAAGGTACCACCCACTCTCCCAGCGCAGCCCTCTGCCTTGGCACAGGATAACTGCTGGTCTGCCAGGGCTCCTTCTTCCCTGGGGATCACTAAAAGGGTTAGTAAACCTCTTGCAAACCCTCAGAAACTAGAAGTAATGTTCATCTGTGGGCTGCAGAATATTGGCAACTTCCACAGGCCCCAGTGACAAGTGATGTTATGAAGGAGGACTGGAAGAAAGCAACACCTACAACCCAAGAGAAATGGGGATATAGTTAAGTAAAGGACACACAAGAGCAGAGCAGAAGTCGCCCATTGGGGTGCAACCAACAAACCTCCAGCAACATATCCTGAGTCTGTACACACCAAAACCACTTATGGTGGTATGGGATTGGCAAAGAATTAATAGACCGGCTGAAAAATAGCAAGTAAAATAGTTTAGTGTGTTCCCAATCAAAAAGTCTGAGATGGGGAGCTACCTCCTAGTCTGTCTCCTATCAGCACAGGATCCTTGAAAAACAATCAGCTCCTGAGGAATGAATGTTTGCCTGCATTAATCTCTTGCAAGGTAGAAATGAGACTGGGCGGGGGGTGCGGGAGGAGCAGGGGGAAATTAATTTGAAAATTATAGTTTGACCAAAAATACCTAGAGCTTAACCTGCCAGTTTAAGACAAAAACCTACAGCATGCTAATGCAGCCCTTCCTAACTGGCCAGAAGACGGCGAGCACGGGGATGCCCTCTCCCCCTGCGGCAGGTACCTGTGCCTCTGTGCGCAGCGCGGGGGCAGCCGGCGCTCGGCAGCGGGGAGCGGAGCAGGAGGAGCAGGCGGCAGCTCCCGAGCATCCTCCCGAGCGGACGAGCCGCCATAGCGGCGGGGGGGGGCCGAGAAAGATGCCTGCCCTGTGTAATCCCTGCGTTCCACCTAAAGAATCAGACCTCATAAAGGCAATGAGTAAAGCACCCGCTTAAATGCCGATGCAGCATTTGCAGGTAAAGGTTTCAATCACTTCTTATCGAGAGGCAAAGAGACCAGCTTAAAAATGAGCACTCACTGCAGCCGTAAATATAACAAAGTCCTGTTGAGATATTTGCTTGCAGCCATTCCGGGCTGTTTTTAAGGAGAACGGGTCTGGTACTTGCATGCAAAAGCGCTCTTGCTGTCCTAGATGCGCATTCCAGGCATTGCTCTCAGCGCTGTTGATCGAGGAATGGAGAAGGGGCCGTGCCATCTGAGGGTTTCCTGTTTTCGTGGGGTGATGTGCAGTCACAGCTGCCTTGGCTTGGCCTATAAATATACCTGTAATAGGACATGTGTGTTAGTTTGGCAGCGCACCCTTAAAAGGTAGACCTAAACACGAGTTACTTTCCCAGGGTAAGCATTAATGCTACTGTTTGTTTTTCTTCCAATTCTGATTTGGAATTAGCTCATCATTTCAGAAGGATGTGGAAGGAAATTTTTTGATTACATTGGATAACAAAGCTAATAATGATGTTTAATTCAAATTTACTTTCTTTTAATCTAATTCTTCTAGCCCGGTTCTAAAATTAAACTAAAAAATAGTCTTGTGTGATCAGCCCTGTATATATACATTTGTATTGAACCATCCTTATGCCTAAGACAGTGAGCTCCATGGTAGCTGAAGACATCCAACACAGCATCTGATCAGTACCATGGCTGTAATCACTGCCTCTGCTCAGATCCACAGAGTATTGCACCAAAGGATGGATATCAGCAAGGCTCCTGTGTGGTTCAAACACTGTCTGCAGTGGCAGGGGAAGCAGGGCACACAGCTGATTTATGGCTTTGTCCTGTGTAATAAGACTCAGTGGAGTGAAGCCAGACTACCTGGATAAAAATCCTGAGGTGTGATGCCTGTGAATCCTCAGGACTGTGACTCGTCAGGAGAGCAGTACTGCTGGCAGGGAGGAGAGGGCTTTGCCACCCCACTTTGGTGCTGGCAGAAGGCAGCATCCATGCTATAGGCAGAGGTTCAACATTTTTCCATGTTCAGCCATTTTGGAAAGTGATGATCCTGTGATGTTTCCTAACACTTTCTAGCTTACCCCTATGGCATCTTATAACAGTCATGGTTTAGGAGGGAGCTGGAACATGTTAGGGAGTCTTTGGTGAAGAGAGACCCAATGTGACACTTCCCCAGTTCTGGCAAGTGGCTTAAGACTAGAAAGTGATAGCAGGTGATGGTGTCACTCCTGGCTTCTGTCACCAGTTCAGCTGTAGAAAAGAGGCATTTCTCTTACATTCTTGGTCTTAACCTTGTTCAGATGGTGTTTGCTCCTGAGGAGGACAGGTAATCAATAGAGTTCTCCCTGAATTATCTGAGAAATGAGGGAGGGTGAGAGAAAGTGGTTAGTCCTGAAACTTGCATGTTTTCTTGTGATTGACATTGATTTAACTGGTGCTTTTTTAAAAGACAAAATTAAATAAAAATGAACTGTCAGTATCTTTCTTGCAGGTCTCTGTTACTGGTACCATCCCAAAATACAGCAGTCTTGAGGCAGTAGGAACTCAACCAATACAGGTCTGCTGCCGCACCGCTTTCCTCAGGTTCTGAAGAAGGGAAATGGGTGCCTGGGGGGCAGTGGGAGCAGGAGCACAAGATATCAGGCTCATCAGCCCAAGCCTTATCATCCTCTCAGTTACCCAGCTCACTACAAGCCACTCCTTGATTTAAATGAGGGAGGTGGTGGAAGAGGCAGATCCCATTCATCCCAACAGCTGTGATGCACATTTCAGGTGCTGCATGGCAGAGCAGCAGAAAATCCTCCATTTTCCCCTGCAACAGAAGCCTGACCTGCAGTCATCCAAACCAGCATGACAGGTCTTCCTCAAGTGGAAAACAACCCCCCCAGCTGGAGGTAATTCATTTTTCAGATCTTCAGTGCTGAAAAACCAAATCATTGTCCTGTCATGCCTGTAATGTTGCCTCCCATGGTTACAGCACACACCAAGCCATGTAGCTAGGCAGACATCCGGCCTGCCTTTCTCCCCATAGACTGTTTTGAAAGCCAATTAAGCTGTTACTTAATTTTCCTCCTATTTTTTTTTCCTCCCTTATGCACAAGGGGAAGCATTTAAAAATCTCCCCTAGCTACATTATGTAAATTTTCAAGTAAATTCTCTCTGACTTGTAATTCAGCAGATTTATTGTTAAAAACGTCACCTGTCTCCAGCATGTACACAAGCTGCACCCAGGGAAGGGTCACTCATCCAAGGCACAGTATCCCCTTAGACACGAGTAGATGGGGAGAGGCTCCTCAGCTCCTCCCATAGTGTGGCTCTGTGCCGAGGCAGCAGCAGCACCACGTGTGTAGGCGAGAGCAGGAGGGAAGAGGGAAGCAGTCACAGTCCAGACTATCCTGCTGGTATTTCTTTGGGCTCCAGCTCAGGCTCTGTCTTGACTGATGGCTGTGGAGACAAGCAGAGCATCCCGTAATGCCTATGCTGGCATATACTGAGCAGTCAGCCAGGAAGCTATGAGGTGCAGAAGTGAAAAAAACCCTGTTCAAATTCAAACCTCTGCTTACGCAGCTTCTATTAATAAAGCCCCTTGACATTATCATGTATGGCAGAAAACACTGAAATGGTGGTGGTTTTATTTTGTAAGCATTTGCATGTAATTGGTTTTCTTCTGCCCAATTTGTCAGACCTAAGGTATGTCCCCTCCTACGGGGAGGTTCCACTGAAACATGTGGGAGCTCACCATGCAACAATTTGTCTTGGACCTGCTGTATCTAGGGGTGCTGTGTTCTCAGGTGCCTGGGGAGTGAAGAACAGGGGTTTGGCATAAGCCCTTCAGTGGTGGATTGTATCCGTGGGGGGCTCTGTTTTTTCCATGGAAACCCTCAATACTTTTGTAGGAGACACTGCAGGAACCTCACATCCTTCCTCAGCAGAGTCTTCTCTCTTCTTTAATAGACTTGAAACAGCTCCACAGCCAGCCTCTAGACACTCAGGTATGATGAAACAATGAGCTCTTGTTATATGGAGGTACTGTTTCCACTGGAAAGTGGAAATGGAATGGAAGCACTATCTAAAGATATGTGGTAGTGCTCTGATGCTGAATTCCAGAGACAGAAAGCGATTTTGGCAAACCTTATTAGAAGCAGAACTGTCAAAATACCTGGGAAAAGGGTACTGCTGGTTTCCAGAGATGCACAGACTGAATGCAGATCTCCCTGAAGCTGATCTATGGGTTCCGTTTAGATTCATTTATGGAGCAGCCTGATGTGATTCAGGTCAGACATCATTAGAAATAACAAACACACTACTTCTGGCTGTGTTTGCTTTAGGGTTTAATATCTCTTTTTGCTAATCATTAGCTATAGGATACCTGATTATTCTAACCTTTGTTTTTGGAAAGTAATAGGTCTTATTTGGGGACTAGCTTAAGTGGGAGCCTTCTCTTGGATTCTAAGGGTGGAATATGAACAGAACAGGACTGAATAGGATAGCTCCAGTTGGAAGAGACCTACAGGTTTGGTCCACTGTGACAAATGCTTTGAGCTGGATTAGACAAAATGCCCTCCACAGGTCCTGTCCAGTATAAATTATTCTAAAATTCTAAATGCTTTGAGAATTTTCTTGCATAACAAGTGAAGGCATGAATTCTAAGTTAAATAGATAGTTTGCAGTCACTCCTTGATAGAAAACTCAACTCTGCAACTGAGCCATTGGTTCAGCTAAAAGTAGACATGCAGTCTGATATGGAGTATGTGTATCTTCAGGGGCACCTATTGGGAAGCAACAAATCCAGGTTATTTCCCTGCATTGCCCTATGAATCCCCCATAACATAACATCCAAGTTCCTTGAGTGATACAGACAGTAACAATATATTCCACAAATTTGTGTGTGATTTCTTATCCCTTTTATCCCAAAGTAGTGAAGAACTTTGATGGTTCTTCCACACAGTACCCAAAGCCTGAACAGAAAATTGAATGAACACTTATTTGGCAGCAACTGCCATACCAACGACTTTCTGTAGGTTATCTTAATGGATTTATCACCCTGAACTAACCCTGACCATCTGTTCTATTCTCTCATTACAAATACAGAAAAAGGTAATTCATTATCGCATTGTAAAAAGGTAAAATATAAATGATTTGAGTAGGGCATGCTTCACACTCTGATTGGGAAAATGGCTCTCTTCCGTAGAGTGACTCCCCTGATAAGAGTTTGCCTTTTTCCTAGCAAATGGGAATTACTGAGGAATAGGGCTCACTAGAACAAGTTTTATTCCCACTCATTCATCTTAGATGTGTTTTTAAATTTACGATTCATGTAAGTGAAGATATGAATCATCTTTCCTTCTCTCTTAGGTGAGCCACCAAAGATTTACTTTTGTTAGAAAAACTAGCATTCTGTTCTCAAGGCATGAGCTGGTTTTCCATTTCATGAAAATGAAGTGCTTGGTGGCAGTCTGGCCCAGCACACCTTGCTCCCATTGGAACATTGGTTTCTTTTCCAGGATCTATCTGAGCAACCCTGAGATGAGCAAAAACTTCTCCAGATTTACAGGGATAACCTAATTATGTAGGAATCTTAGGTGAGGAGCTTTTTAAAAGGCAGAGCGTACTGAGTCAGTGCTGCTGTGGTAAATGTTTTTGTCCCTATTTACTATGCAGGATGAGGGTAGAAAGGATCAGAGCAGGCTCTAGGTTTCACATGGACCTCTTATTTCTACACCTTACTGCCATTCATCTGGCAAGAAAAAATACTGGTAGGCCAGGTATTGCTAGCCCATTTGTTAGTGAATTGCTTTAATTTCTGAGTGCCAAGCAAAGATACCTTCCCACCATACCTAATGTTCAGCAGTGTTTCAGTATGAAAACT